AAAATACAAATATATTGTGAGATAATCTCCCACAAAATAGCTGTAATAGCAGAAGAGTAAAAACTATTTGTATGCTTGCAGATTTACAGACAGTAACTCTGAGCAATCTCAGAGTTTCTTTTCGGGGTGTACTCACTGACTACTAAAACATCCTTTGTTGTGTCTTAGTACTGTAATAGAAATTGTGAATGATGTGTTCTTAAACAGCAGTTCTTAAACCCTTGAACACAGAAGGAAGTTTAAGCTCAACAGAACACACACTGGAATGAAGGCCAACAAACATCTGAACCTGGCAAGCCAGTTTAGCTTCATATACTCTCATGTCAGTATGAATACGTACCAGCAAGTTGACTTGTGGCAGTAACCCTCTGCACTCTTTCTCTGAATACATAAGTTTACCTTTTATAACTGCATTGAAATACAATTTTATTCTAAGCTGAAGATGCTCTGCTGGGAATTTTTTGTTTGCTGGGAACACAGAGAGAGGGTGGAGTTGCAAACCTTATATGTGTACCACATAGTGAAGTGCATGTTTGAGAGCTAGTTGAGTCCTGACTGGTGTGCTTTCCATCTGCAGTGCTAGTATTTGTAGGCTGCTGTATTTTAAAGTGCCCACACTGCTCTCAGAATGATCTGCTGAAAGACAACACTGTACTATACGCAGTCCTGCTCATGCCTAAATTATCCACAACAAATTAACAAGAACCTGGTGCTGATTGTGTTCACACCATCTTGAAGCAACCACTTACTGGCCTTCAGGGTTTACTTTTAAAATACATATTACTGGCTGAGACAACAGGTTTGGCCTCATGATTAATTAATGCTGAGACATATTCTAGTGTTTTAATGTCTCCGGCTCAGCATTTAAGGTCTGCTTCACAAGAAACTTTTAAAAGATGTTGAGAATTAGTAATGATCCTCCTTCATGCAAATTCTGATTAGTAGGAGGGGATGATTAAAAGGTGGCAGAAAGCCACATTTTTACTTTCTGTGTTCTAGGCTTGTCTAACCTCTACTTTTCATAGAATCACAGAATAATTTAGGTTGGAAAAGGCCCTTAAGTTAAATCCAAAAGCTAACCTAACAGTTTCAAATCTATCACTAAGCCATGTCACTAAGTGCCATGTCCTTCAACCCCCTGATGTTTGAGGAGCCTTGTGTTTGCTTTACCTAGTGTGGTTTATCTACAGCCAGAATAGTTTGCTGTGCCTGGTGAGAATGGACAACGCATAGCAAGGTGCTGAGCAATCGTTGCACCTGTCACCGTGGGAGCCCCACAGTGTCATCACCGCAGCTTTGGACATGCATGGCTTCTCAGGAATTCCCTGGTGCCTGGCCACATAAGCATTTGCTAATACCATAGTAGCAGAGATGCTTTGTGACTGACCAGCCAGCCTTGCTTGCCCTACAACTGCATACCAAACCCCCATTTAATTAAACCTTAACCCATCAACTTTGAAGAGGTAAGTGGACTGGCACAGGAGATCTCACAGGGCTGCTAAGGAGGCACAGTGCGAGGCAACTAGATATGAACTGGGTCCCTAGGCAGCTTGACAAACAGACCTCAGCAACCCCTCACAGAATGCTTAGAATTAATATCTGTCTTGGTCACAAGGGCCTGACTGAATGGCTCAAGAAACACAGCACACTCTGTGTCTCTCCACACTACCAGAATAATATCTTCAATAATGCATTTTAATGTTCTATGTGGGCAGGACTGCTTTTAGACATGGTATTACAGTTATCAGGTTTTATTCTAGAATGTTCTGGTTCTGTTGGGCTTTTTTTTTTTTTAATGAGTTTTAATTTTGTAATTTAATGGTTGTGATTTTGCCACTTTATTTTTACCAAATAGTTGTTAATTTTTGTACCGTAACACTTGGTGCAGTTTATCATGGGAGGATGATATCTGTAACAAACCAACCTAAACCTCTCCGAAACAGCTGTGGCAAACAACCTTCTGATTGTCCCCAGCACTTCCAACTGCTCCCTCACCTTATTCCTTACTTGCCCACTGTGGCACAGAACCAGTTACTGCCTTTGTCCCACTGAGTTGGCACTTTCCAGTCAACAGGCCTCTTTGGATACCTGTCTGGAAATAAAGTTTTCAGATATTTCTCTTAAAAACAACTGCTTTGATGACACTACCGTACAAGTCCCTTGGAAGTACCAGTTGGCCTGTTGGAGTGGGTCCAGAGGAAGGCCACAAAAGTGACCAGAGGAATGGAGCACCTCCACTGTGAAGACAGGCTGAGACAGGCAGGGTTGTTCAGCCTGGAGAAGAAAAGGCTCCAGGGAAACCTTATGGTGGCCTTTTGACACTTAAAGGGGATTTATAAGAATGATGGGGACAACCTGTTTTGAGGGACCTGTACCAACCTTTTGATAAGACAAGGGCTACAATTTTTATACTCAAGGGGGAGAGATTTAGACTAGATATGAGGAAGAAATATTTTACAAGGGTGATGAAACACTGGCACAGTTGGTACCACTAGAGATGTGAGGATGCTCCACCCCAAACATTCAAGGTCAGGTTGGACAGGACTCTGAGCAACCTGATCTAGTTGAAACTGTCCCTGCTCATTGCAGGGGTTTGGACTAGATGGTTTAAAAGTCCCTTCCAACCTAAACTATTCCATGATTCTGAGTAGTCTGTCACTCATGAATACTCAGTGGATTTGTCTGCAAGAAAGGGAAGACTAATCTTCTATCATTACAGGTTAGTTCAAACCTTTGAGTAACAAAAGCTGAGTGAGCAGGAAAAAGGATCAATAAAATCCTGACTCATTTTACTCTCAAATTTCTGAGCACCATACACTTTCTCCTGTCAGGTGCCTAACACTTATTTCTGTCCTGGGAACTGAAGCCTGTTGATCTCATTCTATGTAGCACTAGTCTGGAAAGTGCCAATATGCTCAGTACAGCCAGTATCACAAAGAAGAAAGTCCTGTGGACACTCAACAGGAAATAGTTCAGATTGCTGAGTGTAAGGCTTGGCCATGAAATAATTACCCTTTGCTTTGTCTTTGACTATTTAGGTTTTGCTTTCTTCTTTTCTCTGCATATCTGCCTCCAGGATTTTAAAGAGAGCTGTTAAAGGCATTGCTATTTGCAGCCATGGTATTTTGTGATTATATTAGCATTTTCCTCCTCTTTATCAATCTAAATTCTGCATGAAAGGGGCTTTTAAACTGAAGTTTCTTGCATTGCATTCAGAAAGAATCAAGGTGGGCTTGCCTTTGAGCTGCAATTCAGACTCCATCACTATCCTTGACAGCAAATGTCAGGATGGGCTGCAGATGGAGAGAGAGACAGAGAAAGAAAGGCATCCAAGCAGGCCCAAGGCCACTCACAGGATTCAAGACTAATGCTTACAGCGCATGCAGTCTTAGAAAGAGAATAGCTGGACAGGCACCACTGTAATGGGTTCCCACTGAGTTAATTTAAATACTGTTTACTATGTGATAGATTAGCTCCATTTTTTACATAGTCTTCATAGCAGTCCAAGAGTGTTTGAATAAACTGTGGAAAGCGTACTGTGGACAGTGTACTCGACTGGAAAGGGGTTGAATCAGGACAATTTAGAGGGCTTTGTCTTATCTCAGAGTTTAGATGCAATCTCTGAACATGCATGAAACCATCTGTGACATTGACACTCAGAAAAGACACATCATTCAAGATAAAGAAATCCTGCAAGCCCTACAAAAATATAATTGGTATAAATTCCAGTTTTTTATCTAGTCTGAGCATGAACAAGCTTCCCCTCCATCCCTCCCTGGACTAACTAAGAAAGTATCTTTTTTTTTTTTTTTCTGTCTGCCATTCCTGAAACATTTAAGGTATCGCAGAAGACTAATGTTATCAGAGTGTTTGATATGCAGATACCTTTGATGTGCATGCACTGCTTGTGAAAATGATGAGAAAATACAGAAAGTAATGAAACCCCACCATTTATACACCTGCCAGCCAATGGGAAGGGACACTGGGGGCATATTGCAGAAGACAAAGCTTTCTTTCAGCTACAGTAGAGAGAAAAGATTAGGTGGGTGTGATTGTTCTCTCTATGTGACAGGAGGGGTTAGGGAAATTGTTTATTTCTTTGTATCAGTACAGGAAAAGTCTTTGCTTATGCATGTACCTGTGGCACTGGAAGAGGCAAAGGCATGGATTTATTTAGGGGTTTTTGTTTGTTTTGGTGTTTTTTATTTTTTTCTTAGACATAGGGAAAGGGGAGATTAATTTTTCTGTCTTTTCTGTGGAAGGGGATGAAGGGAGGTCTATGATCTACCAGCTGTTTCAAAACAAAAACCTGTCAGATCTGTATGGCCTTCAAAAAGGGCTGAGCATAGGTAGGACAGTTCACTTCAACGCTGTTCCAAGCGGGGCAAATGCTTAGTCTTCTATTTTTGGCAGTAATGACGCTCGAGCTGACAAACCAGGAATTCAAAGCATTGTACTCCACAAAGCACGTCGTGCAGTTTGGAAAACAAGGCCAATAACGCCCCTCGCACTTCTCATTCTAGGCTGAGACATTTACGCCTCCCGGGCAATCCCAAAAGCTTCTTCTTTTTTAAGTTTTCACTTAACGACTATGCGTTTCAAGTTATTTATCCCTCGTCCCACGGGGCCACCTTTGTCTTTCCGGTCTGACAGAGTGGTCCCCGCCGCCTGACGAGCCGGCCATCCCTCGGTTCCTCTGCCCCCACACACGATTCCCACACACGCCGACTTCCCCGCGGGCATCGCCCCCTCCCTCTCGCGCACAGGGGCGCTGCCAGGCCGGGGGCTGGCCGGGCGGCCGGAGCCGGTCCCGGTCGCTGTGCCCGCGCCCGCGCCGCCCTGCCCGGGGCCAACATGGACGTGCGGCGCCCGGGGGGAGCCGCGGGCCGCGCCGCCTCCGCGGCGGCGGAGCGGTAGGGAACAGGAGGGAGCGGCGGGGAGGGACGGAAGGAGGGCACGCGGCCGACGGGGCGGGGATTGCCCATCCTGTTTGTCCCCGCTCCGCCGCGCGAGGAGGAGGGTCCTGTCCAGCCGCCTGCTGCTGCCCCCTCCTCCGTGCGAGGGGACCGGGGCGACCGGGGCGGGGGCGGGGAAGGTGATGAGCTTGGGCCGGGGGCTGCGGCGGCGGCGCGGCTGCTGCTGCTGCGGCGAGAGGCGACGGCGGGCCGTTGGAGGGTCTGTCCGGCCGGCCCGGGGCCAGGGGGATGCAGCGCAGGACGTGTCTGGGTCTGGGTGTAGCTGATCGGAGAAGAGAGGCAGACGCCGCCCGGAGAGGCCGAGGAGCAGCGGAGGAGAGCCACCCTGACATGCCTTTTCCTCTCCCTCCTCTCCAGCGGCCATGTTAACCAGAAAACCCTCGGCTAGCGCCGCCGCTGGTTCTGCCTATCCAGCCGGTAAGGAGAGCGAGCGAGGGCCGCCGCGACCGCCACCCCTGGGCCGGGCTGCGGAGGCCCGGCGGAGGGGGACGGAGGCGGGGGGGCTCGGGGGCCCCGCGGCCGCCGCCGCAGAGGTGCCGTGTGCGTCGAACAATGATCCGCACCCCCCCCGCGGCAGCCGAGCCCGGGGGGCCGTCGGGGGCTGCGCACTTGGGCTCCGGCGAGCCGCTGTTGTGCGGGATGGCGAGTTCGCCTCGGGGGACAGGGGCAGGGTGAGCGGGAGGCCGAGAGAAATCACGTAGGGAAACGATCCGAGGAGAACTGGGGAGCGCCGCGAATGCCGGAGTGGCTGCGTTTGACAAGGGGCAGCGGTGCTCGCCGCCGCTTCCCGCGGCAGACTTGTGAACTCCTGGCAGGTCCCCCGCGGCTCCGGGATTTCGCCGGGCCAGACGGCTCGGGGGGAGGCGGGAGGCGCGGGCAGTCGTCCAGCCCCGAGGCGTGCGCGGAGCAGACCTTGTTCTCCCGGTTAGGCGCCTGCCGGTGGCGGGTTAATCTCGGATGAAGGGTTTAGCCGGGCGAGCACGGCCCGCCCGCGCTATTAGCCGGATCGGTGCGTGTGTGCGCCGCGGCGGTGATTAGCTTTTAATGGCTTCTGCCTGAAGCAAGACGGGCGGCGGTGCTGGCCGAGCGCTGGGGCCGCCGCCGCCCCGACGGGCCGCAGCTGCCCGCCGCGCTCACCCCTCTGCTCTCCGCAGGCAGGGCAGGGGACAGCGGCCGCCCGCTGCCGTCTTCCCCGGGCACCGGAGCCGGGGTCTCCCGGGCAGGAGCTGGGACCGGCCCGCCGTCGCCCCTCGCATTGCCGCCGCTCAGGGCCAGCAACGCTTCCCACACGGTGAGCCCGGGCAGGGGAGGGGTGGACGGGGTGCGGGGAAGGGGCGGCTGGCCCCGGGGTCTCGCGGCGCTGCTCGCCAGGTGTCCCCAGCGGCGGGACCGAGCGCGCGTGGGCCCCCCGAGGCGCATGGTGCTGGAGCGACGTGCGGTGGATTTCTGCAGGCTCCGGTGAAATGTGCGTGCTTGTTGAGAGGCTGGGACCCTGTAACTGCACACATTGCTTTCTCCCTCCCCAGCTACCCCCCTCCCCTCCTTCAGTCTGGTTTTGTGTCTCATTTTCAGAGACAAATTCGATCTTTCACACTCGCATAGAAATGTTCTAGTGAATACATTTTTTGAGATGAGGTTAGTCCCCGTGATTAAAATGTCGTATGAACTGTGGTGAAAAATGAAGGCTGCTCTCTCCTTCAGATGTCTGATCAGCTCAGGCCGATAGCAGTCTTCCCTAGAGATAGCTATCGCTGTGCTCAGGGACAATGATTGGATGAATCTGCCTTTATTGCTGCAGTAGTTTACCTGTAAAGAAATAGCCGCTGATGGCACGAAAAGGGCGTTATTTTCCGGTTCTGTGGTATCTCACACTATCTCCCACTCCTAGTTAATCTATTAGGAATGAAACTTCCCAAGTATGCCACTATATATGGGTAAGAGGAGGTATCTCTGTCCTGAAGGCACGACAGAGTAGAGAGAGGGATCTATATACTGTCATGTTAACAGTAAATATCTGAAATTTTTATTGCATACATTTCCTTTTATTCTGAAAGATTTCATACTGACCCTGAAAGGCATTGATGGCATACTTTTCATAGAATTAATGAGCTCTTTGTGGATGCTCACATACTGTCTTCGTAAACATTGGCAGAGCTTTAAATGGTAATGTGATTATGGGCTAGTGGAAGGTGAAACTGTGCATTTAAATATTAGTGTTTCAGTGACTTTCCATGTAACTTGAGGGGTAAAACATCTTATTCAAATCCATTTATAGCAAAAATTGTCTTAAGTTAAATAAAAAATCAGTATATATATGTGAGGTATTCTCAGAAGGAGTGAAGAGTATTCTGCAAATTCAAGGTGGAGCTGCATACTTGAGATCAACTTCATTGTATATTTATGTAACTAGAGTACATGTCTGAATTGTTTGTTAGTATAAAAGGCCAATTTTCTTCACATTTGTATACCAGTTAAGTGCTGCTTGATTTTAGAGTTGGGGCAACAGTTTAGGGGTTTGTTTAAATAAAATCATAGAAGAAGGAACATAGTACAAACAGCCTGGACACCAATCATGCAAGTGCATTTACAGTAGGGCTCACATGTAACAGAGCCCAGACTTAATTTAGGATTTGTGGAAGCATGGTGGTCTAGCTGGTTTTTTTGTGACTACTTACTAATTTTGGAAGTAGAGAACTTTGGTATTCTTATACAAAGATTTTGTGTATATATATATATATATACATACAGACACTATATATAATATATATATGTATGTAAAGATGCAGTCTTTATAAAAGCATTCAAGGGGTGTTCAAGTGTTACATTTCTGTGTTCCTAATATCTTTACAAATATGTGATTGTGTGTGTGTGCCTATGTTTATATGTAGCATATATATGTGTACTTATGGAAGCACCCAGGAATGATGAAGCATTATATGGTGATGGATCACATCCCTCTAGATTCTGACTGTTTCAAAGTCTGCCTTTCCTTTGTGATAAAGAGCCTACTCTACAGTGGTTTTTTAGCCTTGGGTGCTATTACAGAAATGCCTCATATTGCCTTTGTAAGTGGTTATTTTGTGGTTTGCTAACATAACTTTTTGTGGTAAGGATCAGATATGACACCAGAATGCTGGATTTTAACCTGAAAAAAAAATAGGGGGGGCATTATCTGTTCTGTAAGCTTAGGTCTACTGACCTCAGCTGACACTGACAGATTGAAACCATTGGTTTTGCATCCCACCACTTCCTCCAATCAGACCTGTTTAAAATGGGTCCTTTCAGTTTTCTTATATTATTTTCCTTCTTGTGTCCATTTGCTTATCCTGTTTTCATCTCTATTGTATCTATATGCCTTCTGTAATAGCTAAAACCAGAATATTTCTGTTTGTGTTTCAAACTTTCAGAAGGTATGGTGTGCTTAAGTGGGTGAACTGCTGGTGTTTATATATGTGTGCATAGTATGTATACTAATTGTGAGAGAAACTGAGGGAGGAGTTATGTTTTGTTTAAGCTGAAGGGTTTTTCTTTTAATGCAGGCAGGGAAGAAGTCAACTACCTGTCACATTTCTTGCTTCTGTGATCCAGCCTCTACTGAAACTATGGTCTCCTACTGTCAAGTGAAATTTCGTTGTTCGGTAGATTATAAATAGCATGGGTAGAAGGGGAGAAGATGATGTTTTACACAAGCTTCATAAAATGGGACAGAGATTTTGGTGGCAGTCTTTGCAAGCACAGCAGCCTTTGTTGCTAAGCAGGTGGAGTTGTGTTCTACTAGGGAAAGGTTTTGTTTATTTATTTTTTTTTTAATGTGCCTTCATCCTCGGCTTATTTGTGTATACTTCCATCCCTGGCTGTCTTTTTTTGCCTCGTGGTGGAAAACATGAACCTGTTTCCAATCCCTTGTCCTCTTCATTTTCCTTTCCAAAGTCAGTGTTTTCTCTTTGGAAGCATTAAGTTCTTGCTGTGATGATTGGAACCTTTTTCCATTCACTCTCTCCTATTTCATTATGGTGTTCTAACATCCAGTTGACAAGCTGCAGTAGAGATTACCTTGCTTGCCTGCTGCTCTGCTTGTATAAATCCCAACCTGTCTTGAGTCCCTTTTCCAGACTCATCTCTGTCTTCTGCCTAGCTCTGTCTCTCTTCTTTCTCGCTTGGCATGCATTCCAGCATTCTGTACTGTTTCTCTTTTTCTTGCAGCATACAAGTATTAATGTTTTTATCCTCCTGTCTAGTACTGTAAAACAATCCCTTTACAATGCATGATTCAGTGCCCTCCCTCCTTCAAGCCCTAAGATTTCTGTACAGCAAGCCTATTTTCTTTTGCCACCAGCATTGAATGTTTACCCTTATACTTTTGTATCATTGCATTAGTCTTGATTTTTTAAAATTTATTTTTTTAATTGACTTACATTGTAATGGAACAGAGATTCCTGGACTCTGTTAATGCAAAGACCTGGTAGGTCACACGATGCTAATTTTTGCTCTTGTCACCTGCTTTGAAGCAGGTAAAATCAAAGCAAATACCTTCTTATTGTGGTGTTTTCATGTATTAAATTGCCACAGAAATGCTGTCACATTTGAGTGGAAATAACTATGCAGTCATGACCTGGATTTTATTACATCTCGTTTTCTGTGGATGTTTCTTCCTCTATTTAAAATTTGTTTCTGGGGGGAATATGAGGTTGTCTTAGCTTTCAGGGGCTATGGGGGTCAGCTGTGAAATTTGGGTTCCAGCAGCTGGTGATTGTGGTGCTGTAAGGACTTGCAGTACTTTTGGGCACATCTCTCATATTTGTATAGTTCACCTAACCCAAGGGGTTCAATTTAGTGTACATTGGCTGTCCTTTTGAGTGTCATCATGTGTAATAAATGCAGGGTGTCCCAGAAGTATTTAAACTCACTGCACCCCTAATATAATTTAAAAATTTAAGAATCAGTATCACTTTTGAGACACAGCTCAGTCTGTGAAAATATTTGCTATATGAAGTTGTGTTTAACTTAAAAAGAATAAGCTTATATGGACCAGATACAACAACAGCAAAAATCCAAATGGTGTGTTCCTTCTACTACTCTTGTTGAGCCCCAAGCTCAACAAAGGCTTAATCTTTTCTGGTGTATAAAACCCATACTCATGATAAAACCATTAGGGATAATCCAGTGTTATTATCATTGTACTAATTAGCAAGTATTTTTAGTTCTGAACAGAGGAATGTTGCTAAATTAGTTTATCAAGGAAAAAGAAGGCCTTTTATACCTTTGCTCAGGCTTTTGTTTTGTAGTCAACAAAATAGGCAGTGAAGCATGCTGCACCTGATACCATATGCCTCTTGTGTATTTGACACAGTAGGACTGAAAATGGCTGCCCAGAAATGCTGTGAAGAAAGGGGTATATAGTGTAACAATTATTCTTTAATTAAGTTACTACTTTAGAACACTGTTTTCTCCCTTTGTCCTCATCTGTGTGAAGTAATAACAGATAATGACATCTTATTCCTGTGCAGTATTTCAGCGGGCCATCATGATTGCTCTATTATTAAGATTAATTTTGCAAACCTTTTTAGATTTTGATTGACAGCAAAATCTTTTTTCTGTGATTCTGCTCAAAATAGAATTGCAAGATACAGCTGAATCATGTGTCTGTCTTGGATAGTTTTGTAGGATGCTAATAATCACGCAAAGTGACTGTTACAAATATGATACGATTACATAATATTTTGATGCATTTAGAGGATAAAGTAGAGAAGAGGTATATGCTCCTGTGGGGATCAGTCCTATAAGTGTCTTGTAAAAGGTCTTGAAACAGATCAATGCATTGGGTGAGTGTATTGCAAAGGAATTGTAAGTGGATTTATCACCTTGTTAGTAGGCTGGATTCATTTTTTTGCTGCTTCCCTGTTGTTACAGGTCTGTAGCCTAAGTATAGTAAATTACTGTCCTACTTCTGTTCCTAAATCCATTTGTGAAGGCAAAAGAAGCCCAAATAATACTGCCCTCAAATTAAAGTTTTGTTGCCTTTTTATTTACTTATTGATCATAGTTTAGGGTGGAGTTTTGTTTTGTTTTGCTTGGGGTATCTACTTCAAAGATTAGGTGACTGCTTTCGGCATAGTCATCAACTTCCATAAAATGAACAGACCAAAGTAAAAGCAAGATCCTAATGGTGATTCTGAAATTATGAGAAACTACTAAGAAAGAAAAGAAACACTACATTGTAATATTTGCTGTTACCTTATTGATGGTGTCAGAAGATTCAGGAAGATGGGTTCAAGCTCACCAGTTATTTCATTATATTTTGTAGACTTACAACAGTAGCTTCTTGATTATGTGTGCTACAAAAATATGTAAATCTTAGAAGGTGTGGATGGGTTTAAGCACAAACAACACAATATATGATCAGTAAGCTTTGTAAGTGCATGCAGGTAGTCAGTTGTAGGTAGTAGGTTGTTGGTTCTGGAATTTAGGGGTCCATCTGCAGAGGCAAAATGGGGGTGTTATAAACCTCTCAGGCATGTGGTTTTGGTTGAAAGGCTGATGGAGCATTTGCGTCCTAAGAAGAGTTTGGTACTGGATTAAGAAGGCTATAGTCTTTTGTAGCTTGCCAAGCCTATTAATTGTGGTTCAGGAACTTACGTTGTTGCTGGTGAAGGCTGCGGAGCTTGTGAGCAGTGCAAGCCTGAGCCTGACAGCAATCTCAGACACCCAAGAAGCCACAAGTAGATAGGCAGAGCAAAGGACTGGTGCAAATCCAGCCCTCATCCAGGTTGGAAATAGATGAGGAAAGTCTGTTTTTGATATGTACTTTGTGGTTGTGTTGTGTCTGATAGCTCTAAAACTCCTGTTGGGCTTTTTTGAAAGAAGAGTGGGCTCTCTTCTCCTGTGCAGCCTGTGATAATGTGGTATTTTCTACAAAGAAAACCATTGCTACTGTCTGCATCTGCATTTGCATTCCCAAGCAGCTGATTGAAACTGGCAAAACCAGTCATTTAGGATTTGGGTTGAAGTTGGAATAATGCTGGTGATTCCATTCTGCTGCTTGAAAAACCAGAAGAAAAACCATGAATCTGCCTGAAGATGCAGGAAGCAGAGCTACATGGTTTACACTTTAAAATGTGTTCACAAACATACTTTTAGAAAAAAGAACTTTTTAATCCCTTTGAGATGGAATATATATATCTGGGATTTTTTTCCAAGCCCTGAAGAACTTCTCAGTACATATATTGATGCAAGCAGTGCTTAGGAATGGTGGAAAATAGTTAACTGTGAAAACAGGTGACTTGAGGGGAAAAAAATTAATGATGTGAGCTGTGGCAATGAGTACTTGGGTTAAAAAGTTCTTAAAGATTACTTTTGCAGCATTATTCTTTCTTCTTCATTGTCTACATTAGTATTGCCTACTCCCAGTTTGTCTAAGATATGTTCTGCTTTTGTTCAATTAGTGTTGGAGAATAAATTTTTGTACCTAGAGTTTCCTAGCTTCGGTCTTTGGAATTGTATGTTTACTCTGCTGCTTCATTATGCCTTTCTTGCACAGCTCTCCAGTGCTGCATGTGCTGAACCTATGACACATCTTACAAACTAGATCTGGTTCTTCTGAAATAGGTGATTTAGCAGCTCTTGGGGCAATTATTTTTTTCTTTGCAGTAACTGCTGTTTATATAACCTTCAGGAAACTGCTGTTGCAGTGTGCCTCAAACTTGACCTGAAGGAATTGCCTGTAGGCATGAGAAGTCCTCTTAATGATTTAATTTCTGGTGCTTTTGAGGCATCAAACTAGGAAGGGAGTTTGTTTTTTTTTTATTTCCTATATATCTTCATTGTGCGTAAATGTTACAAACATCTTTGCTTTGAATTGTGATTGTGTGGTAGTGCTTTCTATGAGATTGATCAAATCTGATAGTGTGAGCCTAAATTTCTCTGCAAACAAACATACACAGTCAAACTGCAATGATGAATGGACATCAGTCAAAGTGGAATCAGAAGAGCAGTCAACTTGGCAGAAGCAGTCCCCAAGAGCCCTTGTTCTTACATTATATGAGTTTCAGAGCTGCAAATTTCAATATACTGTCCAAAGGTGAAGCTGGTGTCCAGCTGGCAAGTCTTTGGGAACAAGTTACTGAATTTACAAAAATATGCTTCTGCCGTATCAGACTGATGCCTTAGCAGAAGCACAAAGTATGCTGGAGTCTGCCTTGCATGTCTGGGTTTTCTCATTAGGAGGCACTTCTGCTGTTGCAGCCCAGATTTCATTGCCTCATATCACAGCACACAACTGTCATTTTCTCATTTAATTTCAGCAACCTTAAGTGAACAAGGGATGTGTTATCCTTAGCTGCCTAGAAAAAATACAGTTCAAATGAAAAGTGTTCTCAGCCCTGGCTTGGTCATCTGTCTGACAAATGAGCTTTTTGTTAGTAATTTGACATAAATATTAAGACTGGTGAATCAGCTAGAGAGACAGCAGGGGAATTCTTCCCACATTTGTGTAAGACCAGGCAGAAGACAAACTAATTATCCTCTACTTGAGAGCAAATGAGGAATTCTGAGGACAGCTATTTTAGTGGCAGGTATGCGTGTGCTTGTAAATTTCTTGTTTCTTCTTAAAAATAACACGTTTGGAGCAATAGCTATTTTTGCACTTTGCTGTTTGTTTGCTTGAAAATGCTGAATGCTGCTGTTTATTCCCATGTACACACTGTCAAGAACAAATCTAATTTCTAAAATCTATTAATGCTTTTTTTTCTATTCCTTTAACATAAAGTTACCGTATGTTCCTCAAGGCAAAGATTGGCTCTCTACTCAAGTCTGCATAAGGCCCCAAATCTCATTTTGGTTAAAAGTTATTCTTAGACAGGTTTGGGAAAGTCCTAAAGGATATGCTTATTCTTCATTGATTGGAATGTTTTGCTGACTTGTGACTGTCTCAAATGCAAGCAGTAAGTTGCATTCCTGAACTTCAGAAATGTGTGGGCTCTTTTCCTCTTTGTGCATGTCACAACACATTCCTTATTGCTTAAAAATGTATCTGTAATCTTTGATATACAGCAAATTTAGGAACAAGTTAAAATCTTGATTTCTGAGAACAGGTGGTGAGAGCATAAGCCATGTGAGTTCTTACAGGCATTGTATTTTATCTTCAGCATCTGTAAAACTGTTACTATTTTTTATGAAGTCTGATGCCCCTCAAGCATGCATCTTGATGTTAAAGGTCTGCTGCCTTGAAGATTCCTTGGAAATATTGTTAGCTTCTCGTGGTAGCATGCTTGTGATTGCCTTGTTGCAGACATTTTGGAGAGTCATGAAAATAGCATTTTAGAAACAAGGATCAGGAAATTTAATAGCATCCAGCAGTATCACAGTATACGTGCTGTATTTTTTTAGATTTTCTGTAAACAATTGACATCTAAGAAGACACTTCATTTTGAGGTGATTTAGGCATAAAGGAGGGTTGCGGAGTGAATGTTGAAGCATGAAGTTCATGTCTTTCTTGTTAACTGGGTATGTATTTCCTTTCATTTTTAGGTTGGAAGCGGTAAGCACACAATGAATGAGCACCTACATGTTGGTAGCCATGGACAAATCCAGGTTCAGCAGCTCTTTGAAGATAATAGTAACAAGAGAACGGTTTTGACAACGCAGCCAAATGGACTTACAACGCTAGGCAAATCTGGATTGCCAGTGGTTCAGGACAGACAGACAGAGAGTGCCCACAGGCGACAAGGGAGCTCCAGCTCTTTAAAATCTGCAGAAGGAACGGGGAAGGTGAAAGCTTCTGTTATCACACCAGAGCAAGCAATGAAGCAATACATGCAAAAATTAACAGCTTTTGAGCATCATGAGATTTTTAGCTACCCTGAAATATACTTCTTGGGTCCAAATGCAAAGAAGCGGCAAGGTGTGATCGGTGGTTCAAACAACTGTGGGTATGATGATGACCAAGGGTCTTACATTCAAGTACCCCATGATCACATTGCATACAGGTATGAAGTTCTGAAAGTTATAGGGAAAGGAAGCTTTGGGCAGGTGGTGAAGGCCTACGATCACAAGATGCATCAGCACGTGGCACTAAAAATGGTGCGAAATGAAAAACGTTTCCACCGCCAAGCTGCGGAAGAAATTAAGATCCTGGAACACCTTCGGAAACAAGATAAGGATAACAACATGAATGTTATTCACATGTTGGAAAACTTCACATTCCGCAGCCATATCTGCATGACATTTGAGTTGCTGAGCATGAACCTTTATGAATTAATAAAGAAAAACAAGTTTCAGGGCTTTAGCCTGCCTTTGGTTCGGAAGTTTGCCCACTCAATTTTACAGTGCTTGGATGCTTTGCACAAAAACAGAATCATTCACTGTGACCTTAAACCTGAGAACATTCTGTTGAAACAACAGGGTAGAAGTGGTATTAAAGTGATTGATTTTGGCTCAAGTTGTTATGAGCATCAGCGTGTCTACACTTACATTCAGTCACGGTTTTATCGTGCACCCGAAGTCATCCTCGGTGCTCGTTATGGGATGCCCATAGATATGTGGAGCTTGGGCTGTATACTAGCAGAGCTTCTGACTGGTTATCCACTTTTACCTGGAGAAGATGAAGGAGATCAGCTGGCTTGTATGATTGAACTGTTGGGCATGCCTTCTCCAAAACTCTTAGAGGGATCCAAGCGAGCAAAAAACTTTGTGAGCTCTAAGGGTTATCCCCGCTATTGCAGCATCACAACCTTGTCTGATGGCTCTGTAGTACTTAATGGTGGACGCTCTCGGAGGGGAAAACTGCGTGGCCCACCGGAGAGCAGAGAGTGGGGTAACGCATTAAAGGGGTGTGATGATCCCCTCTTCCTTGACTTCTTAAAACAGTGTTTAGACTGGGATCCTGCTGGCCGTATGACACCCAGCCAGGCTTTGCGGCATCCGTGGCTAAGGAGACGGTTGCCAAAACCTCCAAATGGGGAAAAGGCTTCAGCTAAGAGAATTTCAGAGAGTACTGGTGCTATAACTTCAATTTCCAAGTTACCTCCGACTTCAAGCTCAGCTTCAAAACTGAGGACTAATTTGGCACAGATGACAGATGCCAATGGGAATATTCAGCAAAGAACAGTGTTGCCAAAACTCGTTAGTTGAGTTTGAAAAACCCAATGCTGTTAATATGAGAGATACAATGTGGCTGAGCCTTATTTGTATGAAAAATTAGCTCAGTTACGCATTTTTATTTGCTCAATAAATCGATTCATTTGTATCTTTCAGCACTCATTTTAAATGTAATTTTAAATGTTAATTTTGTTTTTATAAAAATACGGGGACAATGCTTTAAGTTTTTATACTTATTTTTTAAAATGTTTGTCTTCTACAGTACAATTAGCCTTACTGTAACTAGTGTGACACAGTAATAAACATCAGTGGCAGGCCACTGGTTACAACATGACTGTCATGCATTGCAGCGTGGTATCAAAGGTTTCTCTTCCATGGTTCATATTAGTTTTAACCTGGGGTAAATTTGAAAGACTACCTTTTGGATTTTATGGGTTTGGTCTGGATTCTGTGCACACTCACATCTATGACTGACTGGACTCCAGGAGGAATACTCAAAGAATACAGTTAAGCATGTGTAAACCTGTAGTTTAAAGTTGAGCCATAGCATATTCTACTGTCATTTTTCATGTGGTAGCCCAGAGAAAGTCATGGTATCACTAAAGGTCCTATGGAATACTTTCTCTATTTAAAAGCTATGGGCTTTGATTAAAATGATCATTTAAACATAATGCAAAAAATAACACTGGGGCTAAAATGACTCTTACTTTGCATGCCATGTGGTAGAGTGAGAGGAACGGGTGGTCTTGGAAAGCATGAAAATGGCAATATGTCTGTTTCTCTGAATTTGAAAGTGGCTGATTAGTTGGCAAAGCAAAATTGTTCTCAACTTTGTTTCAGGTCTGTAACGTTGAGCATTCACACAGGTTCTCCTTTTTTCTTTTTTGGTTTTTTCCTCCCATCTCTTCTCTTGTTTTTTTTTCTTATGTGCAGCTTGATCTCCTAAAATCACATAGGCAGAAGTGCTCATTCTGTCAGTTTTATACTGTAACTTCCAGACTGTTAAACTACATGGATTTCAAGGTTGCTTTTATTTCCTCTGACAATGTTTGAGCGACTGTGACTTCTGTGGTACATTTACACTTCAGATCAAATCTGCATGTAGGGGCAAACATGATGTTACTACATTGCTTCCTGTAGAGGAGTACTTCACCTTAGGCAGCTTAACTGTAGAAGGAAAGATCCTCAGTGGAAAGGTTTTCAGTTGGAAGACACCATCCTAAATAGTTTCTAATAAGGGAAAACTATCAAAGGAAAGCTAAGTGCTTGGAATTTGATTTAATCTTTGGCATTTGTAGATGAAAATTAGCTCTGAAAGAACAGTTAGAGATGTGTGTAGATTTGTTCACGTGTGTGTGCGCTGATGCTTGGTTTTTCTTTTTTACTTTTAACTGCGTTCATGGAAGAAGGATGGTCTACTAAAGAATAGTATCTAGACCTGCGGGAGAGGTATTCACATGTTGTAGCATGTTTTCAACAGGAACAGTTTGAAATCTGAGATCAGTATTTTAATGCGTACAATGGCTGTGGCCTATATTAGAGGTATAAAACATGAAAAGGGAATTTTAAACAAAGTAGAACAATCCATAAGGGTTTATGGATGTTAGAACAAGGCATACTAGAATGGATTGTATTAAACCTCAGTAACTTTACTTATAGACAACATTTATATGCACAGATTTTACTGAGTTACTTGTACAATTATGAAAATTACTTAAAGCATGGTCCCCTGAGAGGCCAAGAAAGTTTCCGGTTAAGTTCTTCTTCATATTGGTTATTTTACCACTTACAGCTTAATTTTTGTTTGTTGGTTTGTTTTATTTTTGAATTTAATGTAAGACTGGGGGAGGGATATAAAGAAAAAAATGACAGAATTCTCAGGAAACATATCACTGAACTTCTTGCCAAAAAATCAACACCTAAAGAAGCTCCAAAATAATTTCTGAGTAGAGGATGTTATTTGTTGATTGATAAATGTAAAAATTAGACTGTCAATCAACCATTTTTCTTTCTTTTTAAAATAAAAAGATAATTTCTTGCCTCTAGTCAAATTAAATTATTTCATGTTAATTGTTCACAACTTTATACAATATGTGTAAGTGCAATATGTAAACATGTGTGAAATCATGTTAAAAATGAAATATAATACTTCTAAGAAAAGTGGGATTTAGAATATTAATATCCACTAAATTATGGTCAGTAAGCTCTAAGTCTGGAAAAGAGATATATTAATTTTAATGTAAAAATAACTAACTCTCATGACTGTGGGAATACAATATTATGTATTTTTCTACAGGAACAGGGAATCTTTACTTCCTCCACCACCTTCTTGACTTCACCACTCCTTTCTACCTTAACTCTTCCTGCAAAAGTTGGGAAATAGGGATGCTGATGTTAAGGGTGAAAGAAGAATCATCTCCTTTCATATTTTTTAAAGCAGACATTGATACGTGTCCCTGCCTTTTGTGGCAAATTAAGGTGAAAACATTCATGATGTTAATGGGTCATCAATGGGCTACAACCACTAAATTTTCTTTTTCATGTAACCAGTTCTTAATGCCAGTAATGCATTTATGATCCACCTTCTTCATAAATGCTACCGGAAACTTAAAGGCCAAACTATAGTGTGAAGAGCTATTTTTTTAACCCAGATACAGTGGAACTTCCTCTATACTAAAGGAGCAGCTACATCAGGGTTTTTAAGTGATGTAGTTGCATTTTACTGTAGCTTATTTATACCTGTAAAAAAAGGGGGGGGAGGGGGGAAGGACGTTGCCTCTTGCTTTGATGTGATTTTATTCTAAGGGCTCTGATAATTCGGCTGATAGAAGTTGGCTTGGAAACAGTGCTTAGTCTCACATGTTACCATTGTCTGGGGATGTCTGAGCTATTTTCAGATTTAGTAACAGCACAGTGTTGTCTTTGGTTGCAGTCTCACTTGGCTCAGTTTCTTGCACCACTGGTGTGTTCATTACCACTTAAATGTTGGAACAAGAGAGTGATGCAAGATGTGTAGATTAAGGATAGAGGATGGATTGTGCCCTTGGTGTTAACAATGTGCCTTTTGTTATAAATGCATCTTGGCCTCTTTAACCCTTGGAATACTGCTTAGTAGGGATGAAATCTATTTTTAAGTGCTATACCTGTCTTAAAACATCCTGTAGATGATCGAGGCCTTAATAGAAACAATAAGGCAATCACACTGCTGGGGTGGAGAGGACACTGTTCTTGTAGTCTCATTAAGGGGTTAAAGATGGCCCTTCCTCGTTGGTTGTACTTTAACATCAAATTGATTTTTTTTTTAATAATTTTTTGTTATAGTGACACTAGACAGAAATCAACTGTATTTGTAAAAATTTACCTCAAACTCTTTAGTTTTATAGTGTGATTTAATCCCAGGGCATTTGGTATGAACCAAAGTGCATTCCTTTTATATGTGCCTGGCTCTTATAAAAGTGACCAGGGATTTTTACAATTTGGGTGCAAGGCACTTAAGCCACTTTTAACTTGGTGGGTGGTTTGGAGTTATAAATGACTTCATGGGAATGTTGAAAACACTTAAAAGACATAAGTAGCATCGGGCAATATTAAAATCTTTAAGGAAGGGTATGCATTATTTAATGCTCTCAGTTTGTTAATTTTTTTTCCATCAGTAATATTTGTGACAAATACAGAAAGAACTCTTTTTACAGTCAGCAAAGATTAGAATATTGCCCAGTGTAATGCTATGGTAGCATTTGAATAAAATAACATTTGTGAATTATTGTTTCTAGGGGCTTGTACATCTCTGCTACAAATTGTAATTATTCAGTTCAATTGCTACAATTGCGTCTAAGCAGTAGCTTGGGTTTTTATTGGGCAATGACTTAGACACGTGACTGTAATATGCTGCAACTGTGTGTACTGAAAACGTGAAAAATGATTGAATGTGGACTGTGTATATATTTATGTATAATTTTCTGTGAGATGCTGCTGTTGCCACTTAACATTAAAGATGTTGTAGTGGGTTTTAATCCTAGTGGCCAGTTTTATGATACTGTATGTATTGTACAGCTGATGACAGGAGTTAAGACTGTTCTAGTGAATATTTGTTACTTTTTATTGTTGTGGCCAGAGATCATTTCAGAATAAAATTTTATGTCCTACTTTGATTCTGTCCACTGTACTTTGGGGTTTTTTGTAGTCATAAAGAGAGCCCTTGGAATGCTGGCATTTCTTAAATGTGGAAAGGCCTTCTCCTAGCCTGCTCGGTCAGTGGCAGCAGTGCCTTTGTCCCCAAGCTTTCTTGCTGGTATCTGTATATAGCAATCCCCCATTGCTGGAAGATGACTCTTTACTGCTTTATGTGTCTTGACAGCCTTGAATATTGCCCAAAGGCTGCTTTTGCCCTGTGGTCACTAAAGTTCTTCTCAGGACTTAGAAAGTAATATGTTTTGTATTTTTATTTGCCCCCTATTAGAGAGAAAAGATCTTTGGCAGGAATTTTGTGGACATGGCTGTTCTAACTTTTTTTAGCTGATTTTGAAAGATTTTTTAAAATAACAGTAGGTCTGATTTTGTAAGAAATGCTTGATTGAGACAGGTACAGTGTGTATTCTTTTTCTTAAATCTGCTTTAAAAAGATACAGATTTCTGCACTAATGTTTGTGTCAGACTGAGTTTTCAGAGCTTGTCAGACTTTGTGAAGTCCCAGGATAATGAGAACACAGTAAGCAGGCTAGACTTAGCTAAGTTCTGTTCATGAATACATCCAGAGGAATTTTACCATTTAGGGCAGAGCTGCCTTGTAGATGATTGGCAACATTCTCTACTTGGTAATGTTCATGTGCACCTGCACCCAGAGCAGTTTCTCTGAAAAGCTTTCTGGTTTGGGTGAGCCCAGGCTGAAGTCAAGGGATTTTAGTTGGACTTTTTTAGTTTTCCTATTCGGCATAGTTGGGAGATTATAGAGCACAATATTAAGTATAGATAGATACAGTTTACAGCCCAAAGAGCAGTGAGCCAGAAATTACATCTTTGTGGCCTATTTGACAAAGGCCTTTCTTTGTTTTGAGTTAGTTAAATGTTTTAATTGACAGAAGTTTAACTAACTCACTCCGGCTCTCTAATCCTCTTGCCAACTTTTGCACTCTTTTGTCGCCTTCGTTTTCTCATTTGAAGAAGGGTCAGGGCCATCTCACTTTGTTTCAGTTGTCTGGAAGTTGGCTTTTGGCCTGTGCCATTCACTGAGACTCCCAGGAGCTGGTGGGGAATTTGTGTTGCCTTCTGCCAGCATTTCCTTCCTAGTTTTTAAGAGCTCAGATCCCTCCCTAAAATGGAACCCTTGGAAGCCCACCCTGAATGACAGTCTGTAGTTGCTGTTATCTCCACAGTGCTTCCTTTTGTGAAAAATCTGTCTACTTTTGGATATCAGCTGTGCATCTCTTATTTTTACAGAAAACTCAGTAAAGAATGCAAGAATGATCATCAGGTACCGTGCTGTTCACTTACAGTTGCTGTTGCTTCTCTTCAAAATGCCGTCTTGTCCCAGTTTTTAAAGATCTGTTTCTTGAAAGATCCAGCAGGAATTTTACTCTTGATCAAGACTTAAGAAAAGAAAAAGGTACTATGGAATGTGTCTGTATAGGGCTGCCCTATGGTCAGGAGTTGGTATGGAGAGGGAAAAAAGGCACTGGTAAGA